ATTGAGTGGCCATCACAGTACTACCCTTGCTTGTCCCAGGGAGTCCCCACCACCATAGCAAGGCTCCCTCCACCCTACCATGGTCTCAGATCCCTCGACATCCTGGTTGGGGAGATGGCTGCCAGCACTGGGTCCGAAACTATGTTCTTGCTTCTCCAGGCTCTTCGAGGCCGCTCTTCTTCATATGAAAATCACCAGTTCCCAGGACTCCTAAGTGGCAGGCATTGAACTTTCAGGGCCCAGCAACTAACAGCTGAAACCCCCAAGAGGCCAAGAGCAGGGTCTTCCAGGAGATCAGAGAGAAGGCGCCCTTGGAGGATGAGTCTGGCTGTCCTCCTACTGGAGAGAGAATAAAAGGCAGTGAAGGGTCAGTAGGCCGGGGAAGTCAAAGCAGCTGAGGGAGGGGCAGAAGGCTGACTCACATGGCACAGACTCACAGCTCAGCCTCTTCTTCTCTGCAATAAACAGCATAGTGAGGCCTCCAGATAGACAGCCCCTCACACCCCAAGCTTCCATTCCCACCAGGCCCTGGCACGCCCATTCCCCATCTTAATCCATCTTTCCTTTCTCCTACATACAAACTTCTGACTTTTCTCCCTTCTCCTCCTTCCAGAAAATTTTCCCAGATTGCCTATCCATCCCTGCTCCCACCCTGGCCCCAGTCACTCCGTCCCTGCCTCAGCCCTTGGGAATAGCACACGTGACCCGTCAGTCCCATTTATGCCCTGGGCCCCCTTGGTCGGAAGCAGCACTCTTGTCACTTTTCTCTGCTTAAAACTCTCCTTAACCAGGTTCTTTGGGTCTATTAGACTGTAGAGCATAAGGAACCTTTCAAGAACACTTATAAAATTATCTGAGACTATTCATAGATCCAGAAAACACTTATAGGACCTTTACAGAGCTGGCAGAACCTGAGTCACAGAGAAAAATAACTTCTAGCACTCAACTTCCCCATTAACCAAGCAGGTCTCCTGAAGGCCCTGGGGGTTGTGAAGGGAAGGACATCCTGGTTTATTTTACCCACCCTGCCAGTCCTGCTTCCCTCATGCATGGCTCACCACCCAGATAGGCGCAGTTAAAGTGGCTGCAGATCTGATTACTGCTTGAGAGAGTCACTAGGTTCCGCGTTCCATCCTGGGAGAAACTGGTGACCAAGAAGACTTCATGCGGGGGTATCAGCACCTCGCGCTCCTCCGGAAAGACAGACAGGGCATGGATTGGGGCCCCAAAGCAAGTCCTTAGAAAAAATAAGGTGGCATTACCAAATCTGCGGGCCACTGCCTCATCTAGGGAGCTGGAGGCAAACTGGCCCAAGCGGACAGAGTCCCCCAGCCTCTTGGGTTCAAAGCGAAGGGTGCCCATGCCTCGGAACACCTCCTCCCCAGGTCCCATGCTGCAGCCTCCGCTGCCTCGCAGCAGCTGCAGGGCCCGGGTCAGGTAGAAATGCAGGGCCTTGAAGGGGAAGCGCTCCATGTAGACCTCCCAGGAGCTGCCTCCTGTCCGCACGGCCCGGTTCAGTTCCTGGTACAGAGTGTTGGATGAGTTGGTGTAGACCATGATGGCAATTCCGTGATGGGCTTTGAAGCCAGAGGGCAGGGTGAGCCCTCGATGCCTGCGCTTCCAGGCCTCCTGGGCTGTCTCCCAGGATTCCCGCAGCAGGGCATGGCGGGCCATCTCCTCCTTTAACAGAAGGGCTGCCTTCTCCTCCATCTCCTCTGAGCAACCCACATAGGTATCATCGAAGGTGTCTGGAGCCAGGCCCAGGGACAGGATAGGAACAGACTGGGCCTATGGAGGTAAAGAAGAGAGGAGCCACACAGAAAAACGTACAAGTTCAGGGCACTGGACAGAGGTCCTGGTGGCAGATCAGTTTAGAAACACAAAAGCTCATTTCTATGCCCAAATATCTGGGGTATGAAATTTGGCAGGAGCCCAAGAGCTTAAGTAACACAGGCACTGGAGTCAGACAGGCATGGGTTCAAATCCTGACTTCACCACCTACTGCCTGTGAGATCTTGGGCAAGTCTCCTAACTTTACTGGGCTTCAGGTTCTCCACCTATAAACTGAGGATACTTCCAACTTTATACGGTTATTGTAAGGACAGCATACAGATCCTCACTTTTGTACTACCTAAAAGGGGTCATTTTATCATTAGAGAGGTTTCTGCACTTGGTGGGATGTAGGGCTGGATGACCTTCAAGAGCCATCCTGGATCTAAGACTCAATATGCAGATGACATACAAATGGACAGCCAATCCCCAATTACCTGATCCCATTCTCATCCTTAGACTCTTTCCCTCTCATGTTAAGTGTTCAGACATCACACCAAGTCATTGTCAGCTCTGAGACTCCTGAGTCCTCTCCTGCTCTACAAGCCCACATCCTCAAACCTGGTGTAGGAGTGGGGAGGAGTCCCTGGTCTGAGAGGGGGTGCAGGAGGGCAGTACCGGTAACCCAACCCGGTTTGCCTGGGCTAGGCCTGTGGTGGGAGATGGGAAGTGGGAGGAGAAAGTTGGAGGCACTCCCTAAGGAGGATGGTATGAAGAAAGGAGGACCACAGGAGGATCAATGGTGCAGGTGGGAGTTCTGGGAGAGGGAATGGGAACTTGGGGCTCTCTGCAGGGATGGAGGTTCCTGAGAGGAAGAGGATTAAGAGGATTGGCATCCTAGAGAACAGTCCCTGAGCAGGGTCTTTGAGGAGTCAGGCCCTGGGTTCACCTCCTCAGGGTCTTCCAGGAACTGTTCCCTTTGTGACAGACAGTTCCCGCCTATTACCTGCCAGAGGGTGTGGAGGCCCATGCAGCTGAGGGCGATCAACAGAGTCACCAGCATTATCCCTGAGGGAGACTTAGGAGGGTGAGGTCCGGATGAGAGTGGAGTCTTGGCTTCGATGGGCTGCGGGACAGAGACCAGGAGCCCTTCTTCTGTGATGTGAGGGTCCCGGGTCCGCTCCTGACCAGGAGGGGCGTGAGGAGGGATCAAGGGCGGGCCTAAGTGAGTGGGCGGGGCTTGGATATTATCGTCTCCCAGCACCACCTCAGTATTCAGCTCCCTGGCCTCCGGGTCGCCCCATGCCGTCCGGGTTTGATAAACGTGGGGCGGTAACTGGGCTCCGATAGGCGAGGGAAGGGGATGAGATGGGCGTGGGGGGGCGGGGACCCACCTGGAGGTTGCGGAAGCTGCGAGCGGGAAGAGCACAGAAGGTTCAGGGCGGCGGGGGCTAAAGCCTGCGCCGGCGCTGCGCTGTCCCCTGTCCCCAGTTCCCGGAGTCTCATGGATCAAAAAAGTCCCGCGTCTAACTATAGCCCCCGCTGCGGTAACCTGACACCTCTCTTCTCCAACAACAGACACTGGGGTGGGGAGAGCGGGAGTGGCGGGGGAAGGTGCTGAGTGCCCCAACTCTCCTTCCAAAGGGCTGCACCGTCTTTCTCCAGGGCCCTCTTTGTTTCGAGCAAGACTAGGGTTGAAGGAGGGGACTTGTGAGACTTGGTCTCTCCCTCTGACGGGGCCTGACCGCTGTGGCCCGGTCGCCAGCCCACTAGGCCGAGGAGCCCCCACGACGGTCCAGCCCGCTGAGAGGTCACCACTTGTGTACTGCCTGATTTGCATGCAGTTTGCATTTGGCCCGCATATTGCATCACCCGTGGTCCAACATCTGAGCGCCCCCCAGCCCCCTCTCTTCTCTTTACCCCGCTTCCCTTCAGTAAGCTTGGTCCAGATGCTGCCCACTCTGTCTCAGATCCTCAAGATTCAGCCCTGCCCCCAGACCTTCTCTCTCCTGACGTCTCAGACTCAGGTGACCCCATGTTTATAAACACTAGCCTGTCCCCTCATCTCCCTGGGCTTGTCTATAAATAACCTGGCTCTGAGTTTTGGATGCCAACTCAGAGGTAAGGCGAGAAGGGGCCAGCTGAGGAATCAGCAAGCAGCTCTGGGAAGAGCGTTCTGGCAGCCTGAGCCTCACCAGGTTGGGAGGGTTATTAACCCAGAGGAATTGGAGGTCCTGAAAGCCAGGATTTAAGAGATGCTGCCTGCTACCTGATGAACCTGAGGTGGGCACAGGAGGTCAGACTTACCCCAGGGCTTTCGTCCTGGTCAGGCTCATTAGCTCAGCCCTATCCTTAGTCCTCTCACCCCTTAGGTTGCCAGCCAAAGAATTTCCTTCACCAGGAATCCTGCTTTCTCCAAAATCCTTCCTGTAGACCAAAAAGGAAGACAAACTGTGTCCAAGCTCAGGAGAGGGTGGAGAGGGAGATGAAAAGAGTGGGATCCCAAAAGACCAGGGTGCCTGTCAGGCAAACACAGCTTCAAGACAAGTTCTTTTGCCCCCTTCCAATGAGATTGGCCATGCCAAAGCGCTCCAAGATTAGAAAATCAGGAGTCACTCTGCTGTTTACTATTATTGTGGAAAACCAGGATCTCACCTACATATCCTCAGCATTTACAGTTGCGGGAACAGGAGATACTGTCTGGGACAGCTAGACCTGCAGGGACAGTCCCTGGGACCAGATCTACTGGTATCATGGCTTTGTCCTCTCTCTACCCTCTGGCTTTGAGGAATTGCTTTTCCCATCCCAAATCCTAGAACCCCAAGAAAGACCCCAAGAGACAGAGTCAAATCTAGTCCTTGAACAAGGGTCCTGAGTGAGGCAGAGGTCCTCCAACATCACATGGCCAATTAGTGCTGGAGCTGGGACCAAGGCCCAGCCTCTTTAATCTGGAACTCTCTCCTTGAACCTCCATGCTCCTTCCATGCTCACATGAAAGGAACAAAATGTAAGAAGATCCTCCCTGAGGCCAGGGGTGCTGGACTCAGGACCAAACCCAGTGGGGAAGCAGTTGTCCCAGCCTGGATCCTTGATGCTTCGGCCCACTTTCTGTCTAGCTTCAGGGATTCCTTTTTTCATGAGAAGAGTGCTAGCCCAGAGCAGACTGGGCAGAGGTGAGTGTTCCTGAGCCTTGAGGAGACATCCAGAAATAGATGGGGGAGTGTCACATTTCTGAACAGCTGTATGGGGGAGGTGCAGGGGTGGGGGATTGATGGTATAAAGGAGAAAACCGCCATTCCCCTCCCCTGGTGGCCATCACTGGAGACCAACACCAGCTTCCCCACCCTGGAGAAGGTCTAGGTAAGGGGCACACTACCCTCCTCTTGGGCGCTGGGCAGGGGAAGAGGTTTTTTTTTAAGGGAAAATTGGAGTATTAATGATAGAGTTACAGAAGTCATCTGGAAAAGTTTCAGGCAAGCTTTTAGTCTGTTCAGGCTGCTATAACAAAACACTACAGGCTGGGTAACTTATAAACAACGAACACTTATTTCTTACAGTTCTGGAGGCTGAAAGTCTGAGATCAGGGTGCCAGCCTGGTCGGGTGAGGACCCTCTTCCTAGTTCATAGCCAGCACCTTCCCACTGTGTCCTCACATGGTCGAAGGGGCTAGGGAGTTCTGCGGGGTCTCTTTTCTAAGAACAGTAATCGCAGTCATGAGGGTTCATGAACTAATGAACTAATTATGTCCCAAGGGCCCCAGCTTCTAATATTATCACATCCACATTGGGCATTAGGGTTTTTAATATATGGATTTTGGGCCAACACAAACATTCAAGCCATTGCACATTTGATGGAGAGGTTTGGGATACCTAGGGAGGTTTGGGGCCATTGGGAAATTTGGGGATTCCTAGGGAGGGATTCGGAGTCACATCCCCAGTAGGAAAAGTTCACTGAGGGCCTGCATGACAGGAAATTGATAAGAGAAGTACCCTGAGCAGGATGAGAGGAAGGATAGAGGGCAGTTGGGATAGGAAAAGGGGCTGCCCAGTGCCTCTACTTCCTGGCCTCCCAGACCCTCCACATCACTCTGGCCCATACCCCATTCCCCCCAAATCTGGTCACTAAGTCATCAATCCACCTGCTCTGCAGTGGTCTGCATTGTTAGCCACACTCAGAAAGCCTCTCAGACTCACAGCAAACATTTCAGTAGGCCTCACCTGTGCTTGGCCCTGGGCTGAGCTCTAGAGACACAGAGTGGATCATACCTGCCCTCAAGGAACTCACAGGCCAAAAGGGGAGACTGACACAGAAGGGCAGCCCAGTATGATTAGGACAGTGACAGAGGAAAGCACAGGGCGATAGAAGCCCAGAGGAGTCAGAGGGCTTCCTGGAGGAAGTGGCCCCTGAGCTAAGCCTTAAAGGGTAGGTAGCATTAGAAGGGCATTCCCAGCAGATGGCCGTGTGTGCAGAGCCACACAGAGGGAACAGCACCTCACCTGGAACTTGGTTCTGTACTGTGGAAGACAAGCAAGGCACAAGGCTGAAGAGGTCATGGTGGGCCAGGTCACAGAGGGCTTCAAACGTCAGCATGAGGAGGCTGGACTCTGTCCTAAGGGTATGGAGGGAAGTTTTATTCGTTCTGTTGCTTCCCCCCACCCCCAATATGTGTCCTCATCTCTTCCCTCTTAATTTTCATCTCTGTGCTTTGAGATATTTCTCCCAGTCAGGTTTGGCACAGAGGGTTTTTAAGCAGGTTGAGGAACACACGACCAGCTGTGCCTTAGAAACATCCTCTCTGTGCTGCAGAGCATAGATTAGGAGGGATGACTGTGGAGGCAGGGAGATCAGGGAGGAGGCTGAGGCAGACCTGACCCATGGCAGGGGATGTGGGGATGGGCAAAGGGAAGGAGAATCTAGGATGGACCCATATTGTGCCTAGCATTAGTGGGCAACTAGTTTACTATTTGATAAATGACTGAATGAATGGAAACCCAAGTGACCATCTTGGGTGACTGGGTGAATAATAGGGATGGTGGATTACATGAAGCTTTTCTGATGGCAAGGTCACAGGAACCACCCTGAGCTAGGTTGATAAAAACTGCTATTAATCCCATTGCCCAGAGAAGCTCACACCTCAGTTTAAACTATGTATTAGCAGTTACAGGATCTTAGATTTGGAGACTCATAGAATTATAGCCATATAACATTCCAGTGTCTTAGGTCATTAATCTGTCAAAATTTAGCCTCCAACCAACAACCAGAGGAGATTAGGGAGCAGGGATGCTTAATCTGAGTGAGACTGGGGCAGACACATAACTACCCTGAAATTTGTATAACATTTGTGTAAAGGCGCATATATCCATTTTCTGAGAAGTTTCAGCTTTCATCAGATTCCCAAAGATAAAGGACCACTCACTGTATTACGATTTGTGTAAAAGAAGGAAAACAGAAACACTGTGAATTTGCTGGTACGTGCACAGACTCTCTGGAAGGATATGCAGGAAATGGGAACACTGGTTGTCTCTGGGGAGATGAGGCTGGGGCTGGGGAATCAGTGAGAGAAGGACATTTCACTGTGTGCCTTGTGGACTATAAATTCTGAACAAGGAGAATATACTCCATTTAAAAAATTCAGTTAAAACTTTAAAATATTAAAAATTAAAGTTATGATTGAGCCTGTTAGTGAGCAGAGATGTAAATTAAAAACTAGATACCATTTGTGCCCACCAGTTAAATGAAAATGAAAAGAGATGAATAATACCAGTGTTGGCAAAGACGTGAAGAAAAGGGCACTTTTGTCCCGTTGGTGGGAGAGCAAACTGGGCCTTTTGGATGGCAACTTGGCAGTGGCTGTCTACATGAACACTATTCATATCCTTTAAGCATCATCTCCTTGATTGCTTTCCTATAAAAATATGCATACAAGTAGACAATGACTTACACACATGGATATTCACTACAATATCAAAAGATTAGGAGAAAATCCCTAAGTGTCCATCAATAAGGAAATGGTTGAATAAATTACGGATTAACTATATTATGAAATTCCAGGCTGCTATTATAATGAACAAGGTAGATATGCATGTACGATACGGAAGGAAGTCCATGATTTATTGTTTCCTGGGAAAAGGTTGTAGAACATGTATGTGTAAGCATACTCCCTTTTTGTTTTTGAAAAACGTGACAATAAAAACCCCAAAGAGGCTGTATATAGAAAACTATGTGTTTATGTATATTTAAATATTACATTATTTGTACGCACATAGAAAAAGGTCCTGAAGGGTTTCACTACCACGGAAACAGGGAGCATGGGTAACAGCAAGAAGGGAGAGGTGGAGGGAGGGGAAGAAGGGGTCATGGACTTTGTGAATCATTCATACATTTTTGTTTACAACAAGCATGCACTTCTCTGTGATAAAATACACAGAAAAAAAGCAGCAGCAGCACCAACTTAGAAACTGGCTGTTCCAATCTTGACCCAAGGCTGGGACACCTTCTTGGAGCCACTTCAGGTCCTCAGTGTGCCCACCCACAGGGTGCAGGAGGCTTCTCTCCCTCCACCCAGCCCCTCTTCCCTCACCACCTGGGTCTCCATCTGTCCCTGCCCAGAAGCAGCTTGAGGGCTTAGAGGAAGAAGGTTCAGTGGCAGGAGGACTGCAGGGAGAGAGGAGGACCCTCTGGATCCCCAAGCCCTGCTTTAAGCCTGTCCCTGGAGTCTTGCTATGGCCCCAGCCGAGCACTCCTGGATCTGCCCTGGTCCAACCTCTCATTCCCATGAGGGGAAGCCCAGCCCTCTCACTGTGGCAGTCAAGATCCTTCAGGACTGGCCCCAGGCTTTCCAACATTCCCACACTGCAAGCTCTGCCACACTAGACAAAACATCTTACACTCTACATCCTAAGAGTTCCTACCTCCAATACCTTTGCTCTTCCTGCCGCCCCAAACTCCTTTCCCACCCCCAAACTTCAGTCTTTTCTCTCCCACCTCCACTGATGGAAGCCATTATTATTCTCCTATTCATCCTGCAAGATTCTATTCACATGTCACCTCCTCTAGGAAGTCTCCCATGTTCCTTCTGGCAAGAAGGGTCCTCTCTCTCTTCTGAGCCTCCGTTTCAATGCTGTGACTCTGTGCCAAACACTGGGAGTGGCACAGACTAGGTGACAATTCATGTTTATTAAATTGTGCAGATTCCCATTTTCCAGATGATGAAACTGAGACCCAAAGAGAGACAGTAACTTGCTCAGGGTCACCTCCAACATGCAGATCCCTGCCATGATGTCTCTGCTGCTTGTATCCATGGGCCTCCTGGAAGCACTTCAGGTATGGTCATCCTCCACTGTCCCCATCCTCCAGCTGTTGGTTTTGGATCTCTGCCTGTTGCTTCCCTTGGGGATTGCTCAGCCCAAGAGGACAGCCCCAGACCCTGGTCTTGGGGAATTTATAGCTAGTAGTTCCTAGTCCCCTTCCTCTCCAGGTGTGTTCAGGGCCCTTGCTCACTCTCGGCTCAGTGGAGGAGAAAGCTGGAAAACAGCGCTCCCGTTCTCCTGGGGCCCACCCTCTCTGTCCTTGCTGTACCCCCTCCCTCAGGCCCAGATCCACCCCATCACACGACGAGATCTCTTCTCTCGAGAAATGCCCCTGGACATGGCCCTGGCCTCCTTTGACGACCAGTATGCTGGCTGTGCCGCAGCCATGATGGCTGCTCTCCCGGACCTCAACCGCACGGAGTTCCAGGCCAACAGAGTGTACGCTGATGGCTGGGTGCAGGCAAGCAGCCAGTGGCAGGAGCGCCAGGCCTGGGGGCCAGAGTGGGGCCTCAGCCCTACCCATCTGCCCCCGCCCCCTGGCTTCCGTGATGAGCACGGGGTGGCCCTCCTGGCTTACACAGCCAACAGCCCCCTGCACAAGGAGTTCAACGCAGCCGTGCGAGAGGCTGGCCGCTCCCGGGTCCACTACCTCCACCACTTTTCCTTCAAGACACTCCACTTCCTGCTGACTGAGGCCCTGCAGCTGCTGGGCAGGGGCCAGCGTTCTCCCCAGTGCCGCCAGGTGTTCCGAGGGGTGCATGGCCTGCGCTTCCGGCCAGCAGGGCCCGGGGCCACCGTCAGGCTGGGGGGCTTTGCCTCCGCGTCCCTGCAGAATGTTGCAGCCCAGCAGTTTGGCGAGGACACCTTCTTTGGCATCTGGACCTGCCTCGGGGCCCCTATAAAGGGCTACTCCTTCTTCCCTGGGGAGGAGGAGGTGCTGATCCCTCCCTTCGAGACCTTCCAGGTGATCAATGCCAGCAGACCAGCCCAGGGCCCTGCTCGCATCTACCTCAGGGCTCTGGGCAAGCGCAGCACGTACAACTGTGAGTACATCAAAGGTGAGCGGACATGAGCAGGTGAGCGGACGTGAGCAGGCCAACAGCTGTGCAGGAGGTGGGCTTCCCCGTCCTGTTTTCAGAGGGCACATACACAGATATTTAAAGGAAACCAACAATCCAGAGGACCCAGTCCTGTTCCCCAGCCCCTCCACCACTTCCTTCCAAGGGGAGACATAACCTTCCGAGGTAGTACACTTGCCTCCTGACCCTGGAGGTGTCTAAGCCAGAGCTGGCCACTTGTCTGCTGGGAGGCTAGGGTTTCCTGACCAAGGCAGGTGTCTCTGGTCATTTGTGGGCTGAACAGACTTAGGTTTTTCTCCCGGCTGGAAGCGGTTGCTGGAAATGAGTAAGCACCCCAACCTCAGTTTCCGAGAGGAATGTGTTTATTGGACTGAACAGAAATCCTGAGGTGTGGTGTGTGCAGAGTGGGGATGGGGAGACAGCAGTCAGGTACGACACCACTAAGTTCTAGTTCGGACTGCGGCAGCTTTCACATGCTTTCCTGAACATACCCCCAGGACCCAACAGAGGAGGAATCATGAGGATGGGCCCAGGTCCTTAATCTCTGAAGGGGCTGTGGGCTGCTGGTCCTGGCTGAGGGATGCCCAGGGACATGTGAGACCCAGTTTTCATAGTGAGAGGTGGGCTGTCAGCTGGAACCATGGACCAAGTGGGAGAAGGCGGCTTCAGTTCCCATCTTGGACAGCATCACAAACATGCATGAGTTGATGGAAGGTGAGGGAGACACGCAAAGAATCTCCCTTTCTCTGCTGGGACAAGGCATGGGAGAAGTGGGTGTGGCAGGGAGGCAAGGTTACGGGGCAAGGGAGCAGGAGCGCCCAGACGACTCTGGCTCTGAGGGCTAGCACCCTTCTGGCCGTGCTGCTCATGGTTCAAGTCAAACCCAGGCAAGAGAGGTCTTACTATAAGGAAGCAGAATTAGGGGGAAATGCACCAGCTTTTCCTAGGGCAAGTGAGGGATGGACAACGGGGCTCTGGGGCCCCTTTTGGTCCTGAGAGCTACTGAGCCCTTCTTGATTCTTTACCATTTATTCCTTACAGAGAAGCAATGCAAGTCTGGGCCCTGCAGGCTGGGTAACTCAGGTAAGAGCTGCAAGCGTCTATGGGGCTCTGTTTGGGGATGGCCAGGCTGTCCTGGGATTGGACCCTTCTCCTGAATGGATATCCCCATTTAAAGGAAAACAACACCCTTTTAATCAAAAAAAGTAAACTCTTTTTTTGAGGGGGAGGGTAATTAAGTTATTTATTTACTTATTCATATATTTTTCTAATGGAAGTACTGGGGATTGCTAAGCATGCACTCTACCACTGAGCTATACCCTCCCCCCAAAAAGTAAACTCTCTTAAGCAGACACCTCTGGGGGATGCTAACCTCTCCCAGAGGATATACGTGTGTGTATGGAGCAGTGATTGGCGAGATGACACACCTGCCCCCCAGCCCAGGGCTGTCCTCTCCTTCACAGCAGGCCACGGATCAGCCCCAGAGAGCTCCAGGCTACACTGAGGTGATGGAGGGAAGCGCTGCTCCCACTAAGTCCTCCGTGGGCTTCTCCTCCTTCAGCTGCAGAACCCTCTGTCTGTTATTGCCCTCAGGGCTCCCTCAGACCACCTCCCAAAGTTAGGGTCAGGCCTTGGGTGCTGGAGACCTCGGTTCTAGCCCAGGCTCTGCCCTGACTCTCTCTGTGACCCGTTATTCCTGCTCTAGGTCTCAGTTTCCTTATCTGTACAGTAAGCATATTGAACGAAATGATCCCCTTTGGCTGTGACTCTTCTCTTCTCTTGAAAAGCTGCTATGCCAGGGCCTGCCTGGGCCACCACTTCTCTAGATGGGAACAGGCTTTCCCAGGGGAACCTACTGGAACAGGCCATTCCCAGGGAAGAAACCACAGCCGCCTCTCCCTCCCCCTTGGGTCCCACCTTCCTCCCTCAGGGTTTGGGGAAGAGCGGCAGGAAGGAGCCCAGCCTCTATTTTGTTTCCACCCTTCTCCATGACGTAGTACCCCTCAGAGTTCCAGGCGCGTGAATCCTCACCACAATCCAATGTACCGGTGCTGTCATTACCCCTGTTCTACAGATGAGAGTGAAGGCACAGAGAGGTGAAGCAACCAGCCCCATACACAGAGCTAGCAAAAGGTGGGGTCCAGACAGTCTGGTCCTAGAGCCAAACTCTGAGCCACCACACCAGGCTGGCCCCTGCCTTCCCAGATGCTGCCTCATTTTATACTTACTGCACAGTAATCGATAGAAAGGATGTGGGACAGAGAATACTATCCTCATTATATAGTAAAGAGAGAGCCAGAAACAGAAGTGACTTGCTCCAGTGACTGAGTTAGTGGCAGAGTCAACACTAGAAGCCAGGTCTCCAGCCTCCAACCCAGCTTCTTTGAGTTCTGATAATGCAATTTCAAGCACTGGGTTAAGTTTAGGATTCTCACCCCTCTGCCCCTGGTCTACCAGCACCTCTCCTACCAGTCTGGGCAGGGGAGAAAAGCTCAGCATCTCCAGATCCCGCTCAGACAGCTACCACACATCATTCCACCCCACAGTGTCTCAGCTGTGTCAACAGCAGGCAGAGGACAGACCTAATGGCCTCTGGAAGGAGACCTGGGGCTCTCCTTGGTCTTTTCATCTCAGTCCACCTTCCTCCCTAAATCCTTCCTCTTCCTCTCTCCCATCACGCTCTGTGTATCAATCTTTCCAGTGCATTCTGCTTGTTTCTCTTCATCTCATCTCTCTGTGTACCTCACCTTGCTCCTAAATCTCTCTGCCTCTGTTTTCCCTGCAGCCATGGGTCAGGGCCCCCTTTCTGCAGTTTGGTCCCTTCTACTGCTGCTTTGGTTCCTTGCGGGGGGAGCCTCTCCAGAGACTTCAGGCCTCCTCTGATCCATCAGCCACTGAACATCTCCACCTGCTGCCTCTCCCCACCGTGAGGATGTTGGCCACGTATGTGCTTTAAGTGTGACCAAGATTCATGGTAACTCTATCTGCAGGAAACTCTGGGACTTTCTCTGGCAGCTGGCAGGCCTGCTGATGGGAAAAGGAGAATGTGGGGACTGAGCCTCACCCAGGGCTCTAGGAGTAAGATGCCGAATAGAGGTGGGGGCACTGCAGGACAGGTAACCACTCACTTAGAGATAAAAGATTAAACTAGTGTGGAGGGGTGTGATTGGGCAGGAAAGTACTTGGCCATGGCATTTGCTGATGTTACTCAAATGCCTCCGGTGTGCACCTGGACATGTCCTATTCGATCCTCCAGGAAGCCTTCTTCTCTGGTCTCTCCACCCTGCTGGGTTAGGGGCCTTGCCTCTCTATACCATATGCCTGTCTCCCACATCTGACTATGAGCTACCAGAGGGCAGGGACTGTATCTGAGGCACAGAAGTGGTGCCAGAAAACGTGTGAAAGTCAGAAAGAAACAAATACCTTGTGAATGTGGGGCCCTGAACTACCCCCCTCCACCGTGGGCACTGGCAAGCTCTCTGGATGTCACTGTGAGAATGGGGTGGACTGGCTCTAACTGTAGAAGGCAGGGGGCAGGAGAAGAGCTGAGAGAGCTTTAGCTCCTCTGCTAGAGTCTCAATCGAATCTGTCATTTTCTTGTCAGCAGTGATGTAATTTCTCCTCTGATCCTTGAATCCTAAGGCTCCTAAGAGGCTGGAACCTCAAATTCCGCCACCATAGGCCTGAGGATAAATCAGGACATGGAGGAGGTACAAGGCACACACTTATTTTATTATGAGTTGGGGCTTTGGGGCCAATCCTTGTGTGGCCTCCTGCTCTGGAACTAGACCAGGAATTCTAAATCCCTTCCCTGAGCCCATGGGCAGGGACAGGCAAGACCAAGTGTCTGTAACAGCAGCCACAGAGGAAGGAAGGGAGAAGGCCATTCTGTTTGTCATACCTGCATTCTCTCCACTGAAAGCTCTAACACTCAGCACTGAAGTTCAGTTCTTCCCTCCAGGGCTGCACTTCGATCTTGACCCTTTTTAGAGTTCTCCCACTGTAGGAATCAGGAGAGCTGCAAGCTCTGGCTTTCCCTTAGAGGTTAGGTTACGAAGACAATGAGTACTCCCTCTGATTTGTGAAGTCAGTAGTACTGCAGAGAGACTGTCCCAGGCGCTGAGGCCCAGCGGAGAGAGACTGGGTGGCCCGAGGGCCAACCACCACCTGACTGTTCCATTCCTGTCTGGAGGTGCTGTGGCTGCAGCAGACCAACTCACAGGGCCTGCACCAGCACCAGAAGGCTCATGACCAGGGCCATGGAGAAGAAGATGCCCAGGAAGAAACGGTCCATCACACGGGCCAAACGCTTCCAGTCCTCATGGCGGTGCTGGGCAGCCCGGTGGCTGTGGAAGCTGTTGGCGATGGTGGCTACGTGGTGCAGTAGGGCTTCCTGGCGGCACAGACATCGTGGCTCATGGCAAGGGCCTGCTGGGGGACCAGCCCCTCCATCAGGAGGCTGGGGACTAGGGGGTGACTCAGGTGGTCTAGACTGCCCACAGGGCTCCCCTCGTTCCCTCACGCACAGGCCCCGTGCCAGGTGTCCCAGCAAGAGGGCCCGAGCCCAGGCTGGCACTGGGCGGGCACTGGGACCACAGTAATGCAGGTTCATGATAAGGATGGTGAGCGCTGTGGAGAAGGTGACCATGGTCATGGTGGCCATGTAGTACTTTCCTGCAACAGAGAAAGGGAGCTGTGACCCAAAGCAAGAACTCAGGAGGCTTAAGCTCCCCAGGGGCCTGAGCGTAGGAGGAATGGGCTCACCCCCCATAAGACTCTCGGGAGCCTCCAAGCCCAATGATGGAAGTGGGAAGGAGGTAAGAACCAAGGGCTCCCCATCCCGCATTCCCTCATGGGGTTCTCAGAGGCTACCTGCTCCCTAACTGCTGGGAGCTGGATTCACCCACAATCCTTGAAAGGCATGCTCTTAAATAGAACCGGCAAGACCTGAGGCAAATTACATAGAATTTTCCTCAAACGTCTGTGGTGATGCTTTGATGAGCTAATAAACGTCAAATGTTTAGGAGAGTGCCTGACACTCAACACGTTCTGCATGTTATAAGGATACCGAGAGAAGTCTATCTTCCTCGATCAAGTCTTTGAGAAAAGATGGATTCCTTCCTCCGCCCCTACGGGTGAGGAGAGGGGTGGTCTCCTGGAAGGAGCCTACTCCTTCTTTCTCAATCTCAGAACGAGGCACGCTCACAGGACCCGCAACGGGGGCCTCTCCGCTGACCCAGGACCGGTCCGGCTCCCGTCCCTGCACCTGCAGAGACCCGCGCGGGTCAGCCCTGGGGTTGGGGTTGGGGGGACGTCCTCCCCCGGCCCCTCCCCCATCTCCCTGCGCCCTCTGGGCTTACCTATGAGGGGCACGCTCTCGGCTGGCGGCATGCTCTCGGCCAGGAGCAGCTGGAAGACGGTGAGCGCCAGCAGCACGGTGACACCGAGCGACACCTTCTCGCCAGAGTCGGCGGGTAGGTGGAAGGCCAGCGGCGCCAGCAGCGAGATGAGCACGCAGGGCAGCAGCAGGTTGCACACGTAGGCCGCGGCGCGGCGGCGCAGCAGCAGCGTGAAGGTCACGTCTGGGTAGGGTTCGGAGCAGCAGCCGTAGGTCAGCACGCGCCGCCGCGCCGGCATACCCAGCACGCGCCACTCCACGTTCTCCACGAAGTCAGCCAGGCTGGCGGCGGCGCCGCGCGGCCGCACGTCCAGCTGGTGTCCGCCG